TTTCCTAGTTAAAATAAAATGCTATGGGTTTTAAATAGAAAAGTGCTCTGGAAGGAAAATCTCTAGGTGAGAAAGGGCATATGTAAGCCCAGTCTTAACCCTTAGATATACTGTGAGTTTTAACTGAAACATTCTCTTTTACGTACTAAATAATACTCTTCAAAATTTAACTGTAAGTTAAAAAAAATTCCAACAATGTCTTTTCCTTACTTCTCTTAATACTACTGAGATTGGCTAATATTTCAAAATGGACTTCACTAATTATTTATGGAAAACACTGCAGCTAATGATAGAAATATACAGAGTAGTCCAGTGAGATTTCAGACACTCAAGTTTTTCACTTTATTATAATAATGCTTAAGCCTTAAAGGGCTGATAATACATTAGATAGACATTTTTATCTGTCCTTCCTTCCTAGACTTTTATCTTAAGGTAGCAGAAACTGTATTATTTCTCTCAGTATGAGAATGATCTACTCAGACATCTTGTTCCATGTTGGGAATGGCCCAGATCCTTTAATCCATTTTGCTAATTCAAACATCCAGACTTACTGTGGTTCTTCCTCTATGCTGTAATTTCCTAGAAGTACAGACAATCTTATATATAATATATGTGGATTATTACATAGGCTTAAAAAGCCTTGATTTTCAGCTCATTTCAGTTATGGGATTTTTTATCAATCAGCTAAATGAGTCTTTCTGTCCCTTAAATAGTAAAGAAATAACAATTTACCCATTATAATTCAACTTGTAAAAGAACCATCTCTGACACAGTTATTAATAAAAGGTTATTCTGTTATAGATGGTTATATCTATCTATAGATTTTATATTTAAATCCCTTTTCCTGCCCAAACCACTTGAGAGTTACAGCAGAATGCCCTGGTAGAAGAAAACTGAAACAGAGGAAACCTAAGGACTTGAGTGGGGAAACCCATATTCAGGTAGAAGAGTCTAAAACTCCTAAGAGAGACCCGTCTTTCCCTCAGAGTGTAACTTATCCTCACACTGCAGTTATCTTAAGTGGACAAGAATCTCTGACAAAAAGGAATTAAATTGAGTCTGATTTAATGCCCCCAACCCTTTAAGTCCAAGAAGCAGCAAGTTCCTCTGAATTAAAACTAGCCAGATTAACCTAAACTACATCCAAGCAAAAGACCCTTTAGCTTTATAACAAAACCGTGTAAGAACTTAGTAGCTTAAAACACAACAATTTATTATTTGTTGGTTGTACTGTTCCCTGATTGATCTTTCAATTCAGACTTTTTCATACTATATTGGTTTCAGGGCAGTGTTCCAAAATGCTGAAAGCAATAGCTGCAAGACATCTTGAAACCACTCTATAGGATATAAGTTCAACATATAAAAATCAACTGTATTTCTGTTCATTAGCAACAAATAAAAAATTAAAATTAAAAAATAATATCATTTATAATAGTATTTACAATAATATAAAAATTATGAAATACTTGGGGATAAATTGGATAAAAGATTTGGAAGACCTATATACCGAAAAGTGCAAAACCATTGCTGAGTGAAATTAAAGACCTGAGTAGATGGAACAATGTACCTCATTCACGGATTTGAAAACTCAATATTATTAAGACATCTTTTCTCTGCATGTTGATCCATAAGTACTATGTAATCCAAATCAAAATTATAACAAGTTTTTTTTTGTACAGTTTTGATCTAAAAATTTCTTGAAAGGGTCTTGGGGATCCCTAGGAGTTTATAAACTATTCTTTGAAAACCATTAGCGTAGACTAATCAGGATTCCCACCATGTTTTTTAAGAGCAGGATTGATTCTTTAAGAAAGAGAAAGAGAATAAATAGCTGTTTGAGGGCTATCCAACCATGGCTACTACCCATGTATATTCCATAATTTATACCATTACCCAACTTAAAGACATTTGGTATTTCTCTGTTTTTTTTTTCCCCCTGAGATTACAGGTGATTTTTAAAGAAACTCTGTTAAAATATACCATATTTACACAAAAGTATGCATATTGTAAGTGGGCAGCCCGTAAATATTCGTAAGGTGAGCCCGGTCATATACCGTCACCCAGCTTAAGAAGTAGAATGTGATTAGCATTCCAGAAACTCCCATGTGCCCCTTCAAGTCAGCTACCCCCACATGGAACCATCATTTCGACTTTAAATAACAAATTAGTTTTGCCAGTTTTTGAATTTTACATAAATGGAATAATACAGTATATACTCTTTTGTATCAGGCTTTCACTCACCATTTTGTGACAGATGTTGTGCTTATTGTAGATCGTTTATTTTTATTGCTATATAGTATTCTATTGTGGGAATATACCACAGTTCCGTTCTACTGTTGATGGCATTTGGGTGGTTTTCAGTTATTGGCCTTTATGGGTAATGCTGTGGTGCATATTTTTTAAATACATTATTGGGGTATAATTTACGTGCCATAAAATTCATCCATTTCAAATGTATAATTCATTTATCTTGATAAATTTTATGAGTTGTGCACCTGTCATCACAATCAACTTTTAGAAGTTTTTCTTCACCCCGGTAATGTACTTCATGTCTGTTTATAGTTAATCCTTGGTCTCACCCCCAGTTCCAGGCAATCATTAATCTACTTTCTGTCTATATAGATTTGCTTTTTTGGACATTTTATATAAATGGACTTGTACATACAATGTGTTTTGTATTGCATATATGAAGCATTGCATGCAGGGAAGACAAATTTGTATCCATAGTGACACTTTCATGATAGAAGTGGTCGAGATGTAGTGAACTTGCCACCAGGTAGCTGGCTGATCACCCCCCGGGAATGGTGACTCAGTATTGGTTTCTGCTGCTGGAAGATTTTGCACTTAGAAGTGGTTGTAGCAAGGTTGGCCTTGGTGAGACTCACTGTGGGTTTGGTTTTTAGCAATCTCAGCTCTGCAGCTATAGTAGATAAGTATAGTTTTCAGGACATAGAAACTCTTTTTTTTTGTTTGTTTCTTTGTTTTTTTTAATTGACTCCAGACAACCTCAAGGACATAGAAACTTCGAGGTCATTTTTGTGGCACTTGAGCTGGGAATTTGAATCCCTAACCACATTCTTTTCTTTCCCCACTTTGTGTTTTCTAATTAGGAGCAACCAGCCAATCTCATTACTCTTGTTAGTTTGACCAAAATGTTCTAAGGTAGCAAATACATGATCACCAGAACCTTGCCCCTTAATAAGTATTTGATTGGGAGTATCCATTGGTGATATTTTGCCTATCTCTATTGCCCCATCATGCCATGGAGTATCAGTGCTTTCTTCTGAAAATAGTTATTAGTGTCTTTAAATCTAATCAATTTAGAGAACTGATTCCAAAAACTCCAGAACCAATTTAGGAAACTCATTCTTAAGATTTTATTCCTCTAAAACCACTCTCAGTGTCTTAAAAGTCTAAATTAACCAGGTTTACTAGAGAAACAGAACCAATAGGATATATAGAGATAGATATATTTTAAGGAATTGGCTCACACAGTTATGAGGGCCGTGAAGTTCAAAATCCCGAGGACACTTAGGTTGTTTCCATATCATTGGGAATAATGCTGAAATGAAAATGGAAGTGCAGCTATCTCTGACACACTGATTTTAATTCCTTTGGGTATATACCGAGAAGTGGGATAGCTCAATCATAGGTAATTCTGTTTTTAGTTTTTTGAGGAACCTCCATACTGTTTTCCAAAATGGCTGTACTAATTTACATTCCCACCAACAGTGTACAAGAGTTTCCTTTTCTCCACATCCTTGTCCACACTTGTTATCATTCATCTTTTTGATAATAGCCGTTCTAACAGATATAAGGTGATAACTCATTCTGATTTTAATTTGAATTTCCCTGATGATTAATGTCCATCAGGGGAATGGATAAAAAAATGTGCTGTATCTACACAATGGAATACTATATAGCTTTTAAAAAAGGAGGAAATTCTGTCATTTACAACAACATGGATGGAATTGGAGGATATTATGGTAAGTGAAATAAGCCAGGCAGAGAAAGACATACTGTGTGATCTCACTTATATGTGGAATTTAAATAAGTCAGTCTCATAGTTACCAGAGGCTGGCGTCAGGTGAGGGATGAGGAAAGGGGAGATGTTGAGGAAAGGGTACAAAGGTTCAGTTAGACGGGAGGACTAAGTTTTAGTGATCTATTGCACTTGATGATGACCACAGTTAATGTATTGTGGGCCGGGCGCGGTGGCTGACGCCTGTAATCCTAGTACTCTGGGAGGCCGAGGCGGGCGGATTGCTTGAGCTCAGGAGTTCGAAACCAGCCTGAGCAAGAGCGAGACCCCGTCTCTACTAAAAAAAAAAGAAAGAAATTAATCGGACACCTAAAAATGTATAGAAAAAAATTAGCCGGGCATGGTAGCGCATGCCTGTAGTTCCCAGCTACTCGGGAGGCTGAAGCAGAAGGATTGCTTGAGCCCAGGAGTTTGAGGTTGCTGTGAGCTAGGCTGACGCCACGGCACTCACTCTAGCCCGGGCAAAAGAGTGAGACTCTG